GTTAAGGTCTAAGTATTTTAGAAAATTTTAGAAAAATAGGAATAAGGTTCAAAAGCCTATATGAGGCTAAAATGACGAAAATGCCCCTAGAAGGAATTTGTGGAATTCCTAAGGTTTTTACTGATTCTGAATATTATTGAAAATGAATTATTTAAAGTATAGGGACGCCCCAGATAATTACAAGAAAATGAAAAAAAATACTTGAGAAATTATCACAAGTTTTAAAAATAATTCCGTCCCCAGAAAGCGAAGAGGTTGGCTTTAATAGAATTTAAAGCTTATTTACATACTATTTGGGGAAAGTCAAAATCAAATGTCTAGAGGTTGACTTTTGACTGAAGAAAAATTAGAGGAATTTCTCGTTATGAATGAATAGTATTGGTACCCGGAGATAGATTCTCGGAGTTGTGGACCGGTAGAAAGAATTTGGTCAAGATCACTTCGAAATAAATATTATTAATGATTTTAATTATTTTATTGGAAGAACGAGGAAAGAGCATTACTCCCTCATTAAGCATGTTATATAATGCCATGTGCATTTATTTGAGGTGAGAAAATGGTACCAGAACATGTCTCAGTAGTCCCGGGTAAATTAGGGCCCAAAAAATACCCTATACGGTGCAGAATGGCAAGATAAGTGGAAAAATACCTAAGGGCTGTATTTTGCACAAATTTTATATTAATTTCCTCCCTATTTTAATGCCAAAATGATGAAGAAATATAGAAGAGACAAGTGTACGGTTAGATGGGAAAAGAAGGTATTACGTGTACGGTTGGATGCAAGATACGTGTACGGTTGGATTAAAGACATGTGGCTTGATAATGCAAGCATGATGTCATCAAGATTATGTAAGCATGATGTCATGAGACACTTGTCACCATAAGATTAAAAGAGAAAATGGACAATCCGGATCAAGCCGCACATTTTTAAAATCAATGGCTCAAATTCAGTCTTGTTTTCTATAAATACCCCCTCCCTTTCCTCATTTTCGTCCAACCTAGAGGAAACCCTGGGAAAGTTCTGACAAAATGGTTTCTAGAAAGAGAAAGAAGAGGGAGAAAGAAAGGTCAAATGGTCCCATGCAAGATCAAGCTCTAAAACAAGGTATGTTCATGGTTTTTATGTAGTTTTCATTAACCTTGTTGTTATTGAGCTTGGTTATAGATTTTAATGATTTGTGGGAGCTTGAAACCCCTAGGGGGTTATGTTGCATGAAATTCTTAAGAGTAGGGGAGGATGAAATTGATGTTAGAATAATGTTCAAATGCTTGAAAGGAACACGAATCAAGTGGTTTTATTCTGAAATTGGTTGAATTTCATGATTATATAACTTGAGAAGATATTTTGCCCAGACCTGGTTCTTGTGCCTAAAATGTGATTTTGATGATTTTGATGTTTCCAATGTGTTTAAAAAGAAAAATTGTGTAGAGATAAGATGAAAGAATGAAGTTGGAAGCATTGGAATCAAAACTGGAAATTAAGTGGAAGATTTCAGTTTTGGCCTAGGACCGAGGAAGGAGCTGGATCTTGATGAATCTAGGCTCATATTTGGATTCCTTTGGCAAAATTGTGTAGGATTGACCTAAGGGAACAATTTTTACAAAACTAGAACACTCTATTATAAATTAAGGAAAAAGGGATTAAGTTTAAGAACATAAGTCTTCCATATTATGTAATTCTTGGTTCTAATGAGTAATGTGACCCTTGTGGCTGTGATTAGGACCTTGAGGCATCTAAGAGAAGGTTTGGATGTGGTTGAGCAAGCAACCTTAATGGTTGGAAGTAAAAAGGAGTAAGAAGAAAGCTTAAGGACACAAGGTAACAAACTTTATCTTACTTTTATGTGCTTGGTATTTGCTTGCATGTATGACATGTTCTGTGTTATATGGTTTTATGAACTCATGCATTGTGATTGTGAATATGTTTGAAATGTGTCATAGGATTTTGTGTTTTATGGTTAATGCATGATGATTACCAAACATGTCACTATGTTGTAGAAATGTTAAGTTGCAAGCATGTTATGAATGTCAAGCTTGCCATGTATGTTTGGGTGGTTATTGTTTGCTACTAAGATTCTCCCGAATCTCACCCCCCTTACCAACTATTTAGGTCAATCAATGATGCACAATGATTGCATGAAGGAGAGCATGAGAAGGAAGGAGAAGAAAGTGAAGAATTATTCATGTTAATGAATGAAGCTATTGGTTAATGTATGATTCTCCCATTATGTAAATTATGTATATGAATGCCAATGATGCAATGTATTTGTTTAGAATATTTATGGTATGAATGGAAATGTATAAGAATAAATGGGAAAGGATAGGGCCAAGCTATGCATGCCAAAACAACAAAAAGAATTAAAGCAAGAATTGTCTAATAGATAAAACGTAGGTCCTAAAGTAGTCAACTTCCAGCTCTAATTTGACCTACCAAATGTATGAATTAAGCCATGAAACTTGGCAGATATATTATACACATCCCAAGTTTTAAAATGATAGGTAGATCATCTCAATTAGATATGTATACTAAGAGATACGAATTTCTAAAATTGAGACAAGAAATCTGGAAGATCCAGAATTGACCAAATGAACAGTGATCTTCATGGATTAAACTATACGAATTGGGTAAGGATAAATCCAGTTTCATATTTTTTTCCTCTAGAGAATTAAAAGAGCTTCGAGTATAATTTTAGAGCACCTCAATATGATTTTTATAGAATTAGTTATGATTTTAGAAATTGGACCAAAAATTTGGAATTTAACCAGTAAATAGTAACTCGAGAACCAATTGCAAATTTTCAATCCACAGGCTTATTTTGTGAATCGTTTGAACTATAATACTTCCAAGCACATACTCTGAGGGACTAAAGGAAGGATGTTTCAAAAATTATTCCTGGAATTTTTAGGTTAATTACGAGGGCGGAATGGTAATTTTGCATTGGCTAAAACATCATTCCAATTAAAGGGGAAAGAGGAGTTAAGAACAGGAATTCCGTAGTTAATGGAAATCAGTTGCCATTACTAAAGGAAAGGGAACTCCCTCGGGCAGCTGAAGCTCCAAAATGAAAATTAGCATCTCTCTCTCACAAAATAGAATTGAATTAGCTCCAAGCAAGTTAAACAAGGAGAATCCACGCCATTTTCTGGTTGGAGAAACTTGGGCAAAGCATGAGAAGAGAGCAATGATCCAAAAACGCATATATGTATTTTCACCATTCTAATTCTGGGGGTACTAAAATACACACGATCTCTTCCCAGTTTCATTCTTTGTATTTCAACTTACATCTTCTTTCTTCATTTGATCCGAATTCACCTTCCCTTCATCAAGAGGACGCCATGACTGATCCAGTGAGAGAGCTTCGTGGAGCAAAGCAAGAGACCATGAGGAGCTGATCCCATTATCCTTCCAAGAGTAGATATCAATCCCTAAATGTTGGACTGTTAGGGAGTTTATGTTCATTTCATTTCTTTATTTCTCAATTTTTGTGCTAGTTCTTGAGAGATTGAGAATTGTTTCAGATGTGCTCTGTTTCATTTTTTAAATGAATGATGTGTAATTGGATTTTATAGAAAGCTGAGTATTACATTCTGAGTTAGAGTAAATCATTTACTGTTATGTTATTTCAGTAAAATAATTCACTGTGATTGATTCAAGTGAATGAAAGTTCTGTTTGTTTAGAATGTTTGATTCTTCTATATTTCTAATTGCACTTAACTCTAGATCTAATCAAATCAATGATGGTAAGTGAAAGCTCTTGGAAGGATTGCATTTCGATTGTGATATCTGAACTTCTTTTGCTCTCAATTCCATTTCTGATTTCCTCTTCCAATCTTCTAAGTGGAAGTTGTTTTGTTCACTGCATTTTTCCAAGAGATTAATTTGTGGTAACTTTATTAGTGAGAGGACCAAAGAGTTAATTGACCAAGTGATTGGACATCTAGGCTGTATCATTATAATGCGTATCATATCTTTTTTTTTTTGCCAACATAATGCGTATCATATCTAAATTTTCTAGTGATTTGATTACCTGTACGGCTAAGGATAAATCAATAGGCATGAACAACTTGGCCATTTCTTGCCGTGATGTTGTCGCCATCCATTCAAGTCCAACTAACCTGTACATGACTAAATTTTTCCTGTGCTATGCTTTTTATTTTAAAAAAGGAAGTTTTATATATGACCCCTTTTAAGAGATTTTTTTTAATCTTTTTTTTAATAAAATATTTTGTTGGTTTTAATTAACATTAAAGATATTTTCTTGTATTTAATAAAGATGATTAAAAAAATAAAAATTAATATGATGTTAAAATTTATTGTAATTAATAAAGATGATATTATAAATCACCTAAATTTTATTATAAATTTAATTTTTAAACTATTGACATGTCTGAAGATTGTCATAATAAAATGACTAAAATATAATTTTAATCTTTTAATTTTAAAAATTATATTTTTAATCTTTTAATCATAAAGTCATTAATAAAAAATAATGATATTAAGATCTTGTTTGTTGATAAAACATTTTCAAATATTAAAATATTAGGTTTAATTTTTAAAACAATTATAATTTTTATAAAAATCTATTTAAAACAATTTTAGAATTGAAGAATTAAAAATATACTTTTAAAATTAAAAAATGAATTAAAATTATGTATAAAATTAAAATATCAAATATAGATTGTTGCCAATGTAATTAGAAAATTGTTATAATAAAGACAAGTGAGAGAGTGTTTGGATAGAAACCAAACTATAATTTTAAAAATATTTTTACAATTTATAAAATAAATATATAAAAGAGTTTGTCTCGTTTTTATGAAAAAATATTTTTAGACATTCTCAAACACCTTCTTAGTATCGTTCTCTCGGTGTTTTTTGATCAGAAGGTAGTATCAAAAACCTTTTGGGACTGCTCGCCACTAGAGTAGATCATTTGTCAGCAAAATATATATAAAAAGAATAAACTACCAAAACTCCCTCGGGACGACTTTGAGCCAGGAGGGACAAGCAGCTCTTCGGAGATCTCAAAGGCCTTGTCTCCGTGAACTCCCAAGTTCTATAAACCCCTTCCATCTTCTTCAACCTCTGAATCTGAATCTTCTCCATACTTTCCCAATAGCAAAACTTGATTCTCCGCAACAAGTGCTCATTTCTTTCACGCAAATACTTTATTCTCTGGAAGCTATACATATGGCGGCACTTTATTCAACGCGTTGCTGTTCTTACCCATCGGTTCGATGGTCTCCGCCTCAATCATATCCTTATTCTCCGTCTCCGTCCAAGTTAGGGAATCCCCAATGCCTGACCTTTTCTTCTTCCGCCTCCAAACGCTTTCTTGCCGCCAAGGTTTCTCTGAAATCTCAATCCGATTCCCAGCTGAATGCCCTCCATATGCAGCAGCAGGACGGTTGGTTTCCTCGTTCTCTGTTTTTTTCGCTTAACATGTACGGTTTTATTAGTTGTGCAATATCAAATTGGCTTGCTGTATGTGCTACTTTCAGACCATTATCGAAAATATTTAATAATTTGAAATATTGAAACGAAGAGATACTGAGGGAAAAGACTGTGAATAAGAGATCAGGAAGGGGTAAATCCTGTTTTTTTTTTTTTTCCTGTTTTTAATCAAATGGTATGCGGGATATAGATTCAGAGATGGCATATGATTGTAGGTGCTGCAGCAGCGACGGCAACTCCTGTTAAAAATGAAACCACTCCCCAGCGATTGAAAGAAGAAATTTTATCTGTTACATCTTCAGGAGAATCTGAAGGTTCTGTCAATTTTGATGACAATGGAAATGAGTCCACTGTTAGCATCACTGTCGTTGGAGCCTCCGGAGACCTAGCCAAGAAGAAGATATTTCCAGCACTTTTTGCACTCTACTATGAGGGCTGTCTCCCTAGGGTCAGATTTAGGACCTTTTTATTTTTTTAGTTGTTATACTTTGGAAGATTTGGTTTTGATTAAAATGAATGTGTCTTATGCTAGCATTTCACCATCTATGGTTATGCTCGAAGTAAGATGACAGATGCAGAACTAAGAAATATGGTTAGCAAGACCCTCACTTGCAGAATTGATAAGAGGTAATGTCTTATAGCTTGCAGAAAGGGCGTAGTGTGTACTCTTAAAGTTCCTGCATGAATAGTGCTTTTCCATTGCCCCCAACTTTTTTGTGTTTTACCTCAGTTGCTCTAATATTCTATACATGCTTTTGATACATATTTGTAAATAAGAGTTCTAAAAAAACTGAGTAAAATATAATCGACTTTGAATGTCAATGTATTGTTTTCAACTGAGTGATGGTTTACATTTTGTCCATCCTTGCGATACATTATATGAATATCTAAGATATAGAACTATGTCCTCATCAGTATTTAGATAGGGAACTTGTTGATATTGATCTCCTGAGTAATTCTGGGTATACTGCTCATTTATATTCAACTTGGTTTTTTAAACTTTAAAGGGAGACAATCAGGATACTGTCTGTGAGTTAATCCAAAAATTGAAAGTTAAATAATTATTCAAACAATTTACTACTTAAATATAATTCTCTTAAGTGGGATACGGAAGATATTTGAAGTGAAATTTATTTTGCCCTTACAAGCCTAGGGTCTTTGCTCCACCACTGTTCGGGGGAGTGATTTGAATTACAGACTCTCATTATGGGTGTCAAGTTTAAACCATTTATGTTTTTAACAGCACATATTTTAAGCTGCCTTGATTATTTGCCTATTTTCCATATTGCCAATGCTTGGGGGAACTTTTTTAATTTTTTCACAGTTATGGTCTTCTGAATTTTCAGGGAGAACTGCAATGAAAAAATGGATGAATTTCTTAAAAGATGTTTTTACCATCCGGGTCAATATGATTCTCCAGAGAACTTTGCAGAGCTAGACAAGAAGCTGAAAGAACATGAGGTAATTAAAGAAGAGGCTAAATTTGGCAATTTTATTTATGGTTCAGATGCCTCATTCAAGCTATATTTCCATTCAGAAAATAATTCTCCTGGAATTGCCAATGAACATAATAATAATACAAATTGATTGGAAACATGCCAATCATCCTATCTGGATTGCAACTCTTTGATTCTCAGAGAAAGAGCCCTGGGTGGGTTTTTTTTTTTTTTGGGGGGGAAGGGGGGTGATTGGAATTATCAACCATATCTTTTGAATCAGAGTTCCCTATAGCCTCTTTTTTTCTTAACCTTCTATGTAGCACAGGGTTGTGGTGCCATTTATCATGGTTACAGGGCTGTCTACTGTTATGCAGCATAAGAATCTCCCCACCTATTGTGGAGCTATATGATTAGATAATAGATAGCTTGAATGACCTTGGATCCTCCACGTAATTGGACACATTTTTCTACCGTTAGCTCCTATGGAAGACACTGCTATATCTGCAGTTCCAAGCATTACTTTCCAAAATGAAGAAAAATAAAAGCTATAACTGAAAAGCTGAATCAAATGTTGAAGATACCTAGAATTTGAGAGTCAGAAGGAAAATGGGTCAAGTAGAACAAGAACTAGAATCGTATGTGTATATCAATAATTATACAGCTGATAACTAAATACATATTATAACTATCTTTTGGGTTCTGGCATCTGTAAGTTGCATTCTTGCCTAACTTCCTCAGGTGAAATTGGTATGATATTCTATCTTTACTGTCACCAATAGCTGGCTGATTTCTAGATGATATGATAAAAAAGTGCTTATTGGTATGTGTACCAGTTAGATTTGATGTTGCTTTCGATACAGTTTGAATAGAATGCATTGGATTATGTCGCTTGATCATGACATGCCTATAAGTATTTTTTGCGGTTATAATTCCCCTCTGTGCACTTCCTTCATGTTGCAGCTTACTTTTGTATTTTTACTTGCAGTTTAGAAGCTTTGAGCTTTGAATTTAGTTTTAATTCAGGTGCTAAAATTTGGCATGTTATTTTCCTTGTTTGGTTGAATTAATTATTTTGTTCAATTTGAAATTGGCTTCTGTAGGTTGGGAGAATTTCTCATCGCCTGTTTTATCTATCAATTCCTCCGAATATTTTTATAGATGCTGTAAAATGTGCAAGCTCATCAGCTTCTTCTGCTAATGGTTGGACGAGGGTCATTGTTGAGAAGCCTTTTGGCCGTGATTCAGAATCTTCAGCTGCTCTTACAAAATCTCTCAAGCAGTATTTGACAGAGGATCAAATTTTCAGGTTTTATAAGTAAACATGTTATCTCCAGCTATAGGTAATTAAACATGGTCTAATAAAATGGAAAATTTCATGCAGGATTGATCACTATCTTGGGAAAGAGCTTGTGGAAAACCTGTCTGTTCTTCGGTTCTCAAACCTCATATTTGAACCCTTGTGGTCAAGACAGTATATAAGAAATGTACAGCTGATATTCTCTGAAGACTTTGGCACTGAAGGACGTGGGGGGTACACTTCTTTTCAAACCGTTTTTACTCTTTGATCTTAGATTGAAACTCTCGTTTATTTCCGAGTCTGCAACATATGTAGGTACTTTGACCATTATGGAATAATTAGAGATATTATGCAGAACCATCTCCTTCAGATATTAGCTCTCTTTGCGATGGAAACACCTGTTAGTCTGGATGCTGAGGACATAAGAAATGAAAAGGTTTCATTTATTTGTATACCTTGCATTGAGCTGTTTCGAGGCAAACATGACTTCTCACCATTTATATTTCAATTGGTTAATGGCTGCCAGGTCAAGGTTCTACGTTCAATGAGGCCCCTGCAACTTGGGGACGTGGTCGTCGGTCAGTACAAGAGCCACACGAAAGGGAATGTTAAATATCCAGCCTACACTGATGACAAAACTGTACCAAAAGACAGCTTGGCCCCAACATTTGCTGCAGCTGCTCTCTTTATAGATAATGCAAGATGGGATGGGGTGCCTTTTCTGATGAAGGCTGGGAAAGCATTGCATACCAGGAGGTACCTGGACGGAACAAGTCTTCTACTCTACATATATCTTATATGTATAATATTGAACAATCTTTTATGTATATATTTTTATTGATTATTGATGTTTGGTTCAGAGCTGAGATACGAGTACAGTTCAGGCATGTTCCAGGCAATCTGTACAACCGAAATTTTGGGACAGATCTTGATCGAGCAACAAATGAGCTTGTTATCCGAGTTCAGCCTGACGAGGCCATTTATTTGAAGATCAACAACAAAGTGCCTGGTCTGGGAATGAAGTTGGACCGTAGTAACCTGAATCTCCACTATGCAGCAAGGTATTCCCTGTTTCCTAAATCTAGTGATCAAGTGCACAACACATTGTTCGGCCAAAGAGAAGGCGCATAATACATACAAACAAATTCAACTTTAAGTAGTGGCTATATTGGAAGCTTATTTATCTATTTATACGGTAATCGGGCGATGCCCCATTGGTCAGCAGTGGCCTCCTTGCTGTTGTTCTGTTCCTCAGTTTCCTGACACAGTCTGAATATTATATTTAATTCAGATACTCGAAGGAGATTCCAGACGCCTATGAGAGGCTTCTTCTGGATGCCATTGAAGGAGAAAGGAGACTGTTTATAAGGAGTGATGAGCTTGACGCTGCTTGGTCACTTTTTACCCCCGTATTGAAAGAGCTTGAAGAGAAGAAGATAAATCCAGAGTACTATCCTTATGGGAGCCGGGGTCCTGTGGGGGCCCACTATCTTGCAGCAAGATACGGTGTACGATGGGGTGACCTTGCTGTTGACCAATGACCCTCACATTGTGCTGCAGTTACAATCACACTAGCATTACTTTGTGGATTTTCTTTTTCTCTTGGGGTTTTTCTTTTCTTTTCTTTGTTCACATTATTAGCCTTATTATAGGTTATGAGGCGTACATGATAAAACCAGGTAGAAGAATAAACCTGGTACTTTGTAGTTGTAGTGGTTGTTGGGGAAATTGTTTGATGACGTTTTTGATCAATCAGCTCGACAGCATGTATTGGGATTCTGAGATGTTAAAAGTAACTTAGCCATTTTCGTTTTATTTTTTTAATCCGAGATGTTGTTGACAATTTGCTTTCCTTTGTGCATATTTGCATCTTTATTATCGTAGTGATGATGAACGGAAATAATTTTTAACAACTAGTTTTGTATAATTAATTGCCGTTTCTTCCCCGTTTTTACTTGGCGGCCTTCCACTGGTTCCTCTCCAGTGAGTGCAGGCGAGGAAAGTCGAGCAATTAATAGAAATTAGTGGTTCCCTTTTTCTTTTTTTTTTGAATCAGAACTGAATACAAAATAACAAGGTCACGCCAACATTAGTGGTTCCCTTTTACTAGCCTTTAAAAGTTATTATTTTTAGAAAATTAATTAATAAATTAATTAATGATTAATGATGCTTGATCAACAATGACCTGACGTCATCAGCTCCCACTACTGGATTGAAACATGTTACTGCTATTTAGTCACAACTGTCTACCTGAGCTGCCATAAATTCTTTGAAAATAATCTCAAAAGAAAATCAGACTTTTCTAGTCAGTTTAATTGGAGCCTCGCGTTAACGTCTCTCTCCAAAATTGGAACCCCCAAATACGTTCAATGACGTGTCTGAATAGTGCCTGCGCAGCTGAGCTGTTGACTTGGTGGCTTGAAAAGGAGACAAAAACGCGTGAATTTGGAGATTGAATTTGAACACGGGCGTCTTGTTTTTCACGCATTTGTTGGCATCTTACTTGGATTGTGTTAGGACTTGGCATTACTCCGTCAGACCGTCACTTCATCAGAATCAAAAACATGATACCCTTCCTGTATTTTAGGATTTATCTAATTTGATTAGATTAATAAAGTTATATAAGTTAGTTAATTATAAAAAATATGATATGTTTTTTTAAAATACCATAATTATCTTTTTTAATACATTTCTTTCTTTATTTATTTGATTATGGTTGATGGAGTATTTATAGGGATAATTTAAAAAAATTGATAAAGATAATAAATCGGTCTTATATTTAAGATCAGAATTAACTTAATAATTAGATCATATATTAAAAACCAGAAGAGTAGTTAACTAGTCAAAATATGAACTTCACCCCTCAAATGAGATTTTACAATAGAGAGAAAAATATAATAAATCATATTCAAGCATTAATTATAGGGATAAAGTTGATCACTTCATATTGTGAATTAACAAACGTGGGAGAACATTTCGAAAAAAACATTTTTAACAAAAATTACTAATTTCTTTGTTGATTTTTGAGTTAAATGTGAAAAGATAAACACAAATGCGGTATCCAATGATATTTTTAGTATTACTGGATCTAGTTCAAAGCGCGAGGCAACTATTAGAGGCATGATTTGGTTCAAAATATACCGTAATACGACGTCCGATCCTAAATATAAGAGTTAGTTGACTAATTTAAGTAGATTAAAGTAATAAGTTAAGTTAGTTATTTCTAATAAATAAGTGCTGTTTTTTCTAAAATATTCTTGTTAATCAAGTTTATTGACTAGAACTATTATTATTAGAAAGACTATCTTTAAAAAAAATAGATAAATATTAGAGATAAAGTGGATTAAAGTCTTATATTTAGGATCAAAATAAAAGTCAAACAAAGTTTAATATTAAGAACCAGAGGTAGTGTGCAATACTAAAAAAATTTCTTCCTATCATACCCCTTTCCTTCTGCTTATAATTGGATGTATTAGTGCTTAGCACATGGTTTTAAATCCAACCTGGGGGCTTTTCTTGAAATATAGAGATATTAAGTATTACTGAGTTGAATTCAATTATTACCCGATCTTAATGAAGATAACTCTCTCTGAAGCATTTGTTGCATTTACACTGACTCAAGGTTTTATGCTCTACATGATCATAACTTTTTAATACATTATTACCTATTCTATCCTTAATTTAATACATTTAATACATTATCTTTTTTTATTTATCTCACTATTATTCTCTCACATTTACTTATTTATATATAAGAGTATATTTGGAAAAAAATTATATTTGCTACATATTAATTGCTTTTAACTAATTTTAACTGTTTTTTTAAATCGCGCAATTTAATTAAAACAATATGATAATAAGAGACTGAGGGAGTATCATGTAGGGAGGTGATATTTCTCAATCTCATCTATATGGGTTTGTTTATAAGTAATCTGTTATGCTAAATATTTTTTAATAAATTTTTTGAATTATAATCATTAATTTTTACTTTTTATTTTTAATGCGTACAACTTTTGTTGTAGGCCAGTAGACTACGAGATTTAGGGTGTGTTTGGATGAAACCAAACCGTGGTTTGAAAAAGTGATTCTGGAGAATAGATTTTGAAAAAAATAGATTTTGTGAAGAATAGATTTTGTGAAAAAGTGATTTTAAGAAGTGAGAGTGTTTGGATAGTTATTGTCAGAAGCACTTTTATATATAGAAATTACCAAAAAGGGTATAAGTTAATATAATGATTATATAAGAGATATTTTTATAATATATTTTGATTTAAAGAAATAAAATTGTTAATAAAATAATTTTTTGATATATTCAATATCCTATAATATTTTTTATAGATACATCTAACATTTATAAATATTTTTAATAGATTAAAAAATATTTTAAGATATTAAATATATCTAAAAAATATTTTAAAATATTAAATATATCACATTCGTTTCTCAAGCGCAACACTAGTTGCAAAAATTAATCAACCAATTGAATATCAATTAGGGCCCCAGCAGCTCAAATACATGATGGTTCTGAGGGACTCTTCGGCCTGCTTGAGTTTGTCAGAGTTGGAAGCCTTGAAGGCGAGAGAATCGAAGGCGTTAGAGAAGCGCCTGACCTGCTTGGAGGAAGAAGAAAAAGCAGAATCACGGAGAGATTTGATGGCGGAGTCACCGCACTTGGAGCCCTGATCTTTCATTCCCTGCCAGGCGCGCATCCCTGTTTGGTACACTATCCTCCACACGTACCTCAAGCTCATGCCTAGCGATCTCTCTCTCTCTCTCTCTCTCTCTCAATCACACAGAATATGAACGAAGAAGCAACGAAGAGCTGTATGCGAATTGAAGATTGAACTGAATTAATGGCGCTTAAGGGAAACTTGCTATGTTCAAGAGCGAGAGGTTTTATTTCAGCGATCGAAATTCAGAGAGAACCACTCCAGAAGAGCGAAGCGGCGAGCAGAGAAAGAGGCGAGGTTCCTGAGTGAGTGAATCCGCGAGCAGAGTGAAGAGCGAAGAGTGAATGTGCGAGCAGAGCAAAGCGAACGTGTCGGCCAGCACTGCAGATGAAGGGTATTTTTGGGTCAATGCCGTTGCCTTCAATTATTTCAGCCAGAAGCAACAAATTCTTGCTTCTGATGAAACCATGGTTTCACCAGTGAAAACCATGGTTTCAACCTGGACCACGGTTTCAGCAAAATACCTGTCTGTTTGGATGATTTTATGTGCAAACCATGGTTTGGCCTTCCAAACCATGGTTTGCAATGTCATCCAAACAGGGCCTTAGGATAATAGAGTCTGACAAAAGGGCTTAATTGGGCTTTGTTTCTTTGTCAAATTTCAAACCTAACTGAAGGCAGACAGCTGCTGCAACGGGAGAAAGTTGTCATTTTATTGATCAACTTGGATTCACGTCCAAGGCGAATATTTTGGTGGGCCCTAAATATCTCCCATGTGGGACCCTTATGACACCGTTATCATATAACTAGAGTCAGGAAAACAGGCTGAGCCTGTCAAGCCAGCCTGTTTAGGCCCTGAAATTATGAGGGCTGGGTTTGAAATTTTTTCTCTCAAATGGTAAATAAGCCTTGGAGGGCCAAGGGCTTAAAAGGGCTGACCCTGGAAGGTCGAGGGTCGGCCCGTTTAGGCCCTTTTTTTTTAATTTTTTTATATAATTCTAATATTATTAATTTTTTACATTGTTAATAATATTTCAAATAGTTAGCTATTATTATCATTTTAAAATTAAATTTTACAGAATGATTTGATTTATTTAGTTTTAGATAATAATTTATCCAATTAAATTTTTAAAAAATAGGTTAATTTGGACTTTAGTAATGATTTGATTTATATTATATGCATTGATATTTTTAAACTATATATATTTGATAATAGAGTATTTTTATACTTATATAACTTGTGATTTTATAATTTGAATTAGAAATTTATGAGTTTCACCAACAATATTTCTCACATTGAAGTAAAATACTAGCTAGATTACAAAATTTAAAAGTAAAATTCCTATAAAGAAGAAAAACTTGATATTTTTGTTACGAAAAAAAAGCATACTTACGAATAAGAGTAATTGATTATAGTGATTATGAAGTTTCAAAAGATTAATGATAGTGTTTATTTATTGCACAATTACACTATAGATAAAACTTTTGGATGTTGTTATCTTGTTAATGAATGTTTTAGATGTTCTTAGATGTTGATGGATATTTACATATGATGATATTTTGTATTTGTGACTTAATTTTATCCATATTTATGTCTTTTATTAACAATTTTATTGGTTTATTTTTATTTTTTGTAAAAAATATGAGAAATATAAAAAATAGTTTTTTCTTAAACGGGCCAAAAGCCCGCAGGCTGGCCCTGAGCCCTGTAGCTTAAGGGTCGGGCTTAAAAAATTGGGATATTTTTGAAATTTCAGTGTTGAAGGGCCAGCCCTTTTAAGCCCGTCAGCCCTGAAAGGTTGGGTTGGCCCTGATTCCCACCTTTACATATAACTAGTATCAAATATTATTAGTTAGACATTTAATGTGATAATAAATATAAAATTTTAATTTACTATATTTTTTATATATTTTTATTTTTTTAAGATCGTTTTTGTAATAGTTATACATATTAAATATTTTATTAAATAATAACTCTAGTTAATACACATAATTGTAAGAATATTTTAGAAAAGACAACCTATTTATTATAAACAACCAATTTAACTAATTTTCTTAATATATTTAAATTAATCAATTAACTTTTATATTAAGGAGAGATGGAAATACCAATGGCAACCATACTTAAGAGCTAGAAATAGAATGACGGACGGTGACGCAATAGTGGTGTACA